AAAAAAAAAAAAAAAAAAAAGCAAAACAAAGCAGGCCCAGTGTTGGCACTCGTCAGGTGAAGGCAGGAGGGTAAGGAGTGAGGTCTCCCTCAGCTACACAGTGAGCTTCAGGCCAGCCTAGGTTACAGGAGACCCTGTACCCAGAAACAAAACACCACAGTGAGGACAGGAGACGTGAACACTGAGATCAAACCTTGCTTCTTCAGCATCTGATAAGCATCTCGGATCTTCATGTCTTCTGGAAACCAGACCGTCCAGCTAAAGAGGATTTCAATAACTCTTCCTTTAACCTTTTCGGTGGCCCAGGCCCCTAGGTACTAAAGTAAACAGGAGAATTAATAGAGAGCTGGGAGGGACTTCAGCTAGCTGGCCAGCACTTCCCCTAGAGAGATGCTGCTGAAGTCCAGATGTGAGCTGGACTGAAAATGAGACACACCCAGAGGACAAATTCCCTGGCACCAGACCCCAAAGCCTCTTCTGGATTCAAGACAATCCAATCTCCACTATTAATAACAAAGCTCATTATGGACCTGAGCACTGTGGTTCATTCCTATAGTCCCAGCGCTGGGAGACCAAAGCAGGAGAATTGCCACAATTTTGAAGGCAGTCTGAGCTACATGGTAAAATCCTGTCTTAAAAAAATAAACATAAGCCAGGCAGTGGTGGTGCACGTGCACTCCTTAAAATCCCAGCACTCAGGAGGCAGAGGCAGGTGGATCTCTGTGAGTTTGGGGCCAGCCTGGGCTACAAAGTGAGTTCCAGGACAGCTGGAGCTACATAGAAAAACCCTGGTTTGAAGAAAAAAAAAAAAAAGTAAAACGAAATAAACATAATAACAAACCACAACAATAAAAACTCCAGAACCAAAGTGCTAGGAGGGTATGCAGGCCTTTTCCCCACACCAGGCTCTCCCCATGGGTCATTCCCATTTATATTATACAATGATTTCCTGTCTCCTGTGGAGATTCTAATGAATTAGGGGACCTGGAGGGAGTCCTAAACACCTAACTGGCATTGTGCAATGTTTAGTACCTTGAAGACATTCAAAACTAGTGATCGGCTCTTGAAACACATAGTGTAGGTGGACTAAGCCCTTTATAGGAATGTTTAAAACCGGACAGAGGCCAGGAGTAGGGGCTTATACCTTTAATCCTAGCACTGATTTTTGAAGCCAGCCTGGTCAAGGACAGCCAGAGCTATAGAGAGAGACCCTGTCTCAAAACAAAACAAAGACCAGATGGGTCAGAACTCAACTAAACTGTAGGATGCACACAGGTCCCAGAGAACCATGGCTGGTTCCTGTTGTGGGATATCTGTACACTGTGATGCTGTGACTGATGTAATAAAAAACTGAATGACCAATAGCTAGGCAGGAGAGATAGGCGGGACTTCTGGGCAGAGAGAGATCTCTGGGAAAAAGAAAAGATGAGAGTCACCAGTCAGACACGGAAGAAGCAGGATGGGCAGTACAGAGTAAAGGTAACAACTGAGCCACGTAAAAGAACGCAGATTAAGGTTGGGGAGGAAGGACCGGGAAGGGGGCAGGGCGGATGAGAAATTTAAAAAAAAGAAGAAGAAGAATGTAGATTAAAAGATATAGGTTAATTTAAGTTATAAGAACTAGTTAGGAACAAGCCTAAGCTAAGGCCAGGCTTTCATAATTCATAGTAAGTCTCCATGTTGTTATTTGTGAGCTGGTGCCCAAAGAAAACTCTGTCTACAGGTTCTATACAGGAAAGAACTCATATGCACTCAGTGGCAGGTGGGTGACATAGCTTAATACAAGTGCTAGGAATAAAGTGCAGGGACAGGTAAGAGGCGATGGGAAATAGTCACACCTGCTTATCACTCCATATCACTGCCAGGAAACCTGGGCCTCACGCTACAGTCTCTCACCTCCTGTAGGCCGTACAGCTCACAAATAGATGATGCCATTTTGGGGTTTTTGATTTTTGGAGGGTTTTTTTTGTTTTGTTTTGTTTTGTTTTTCAAGATAGGATTTCTCTGTGTAGCCCTGGCTGTCCTGGAACTCACTATGTAGACCAGGCTGGCCTCGAACTCACAGAGATCTGCCTGCCTGTCTTCCCTGAGTGTTGGGATTAAAGGCCTGCCCCGCTACTGCCCTGCTAGGTAATGCTGTTTTCAAGGAAAAACAGAAATGCTAACACTGGAGGGACAGAGATTAGCTCTGAACCTGACTGCCCTCCAAATGTTGGCAGGGAGACAGCTTTGGCGTGAAGGGCTCTGCTCCCGACACACAGGCAGGTTCTGTCCGAGATCGGGGTGACAAAGTCTGAAAGTGGGGTACAGGTACAACATAGTGAGCATGCAAAGCCCACGTACTCACCTTTGGGGACAATATTTTGATCAACTCGTTCAGGAAGCGGAACTTGGCCACCTCATTGTGGAACTTCTCCCCGCAGTAGTTCATGCACATCTCCAGGACCTGCAGACAAGATCCCCATAAGGGAAAGCCAGCCCCACAGGCTCGCCTTGAAGCACCACAGCAGGCTGACCTCAAGGCTTACAGAGCTCAGCTGCTGATGTGTAGAACCAGAGCTACCTCTCTCTCAAGTCCTTTCTTAAGACCCCCCAGCCCTTAGGAGAAAGCAAACACCTTCTGATGAAGAAAACTTGGCTGGGCTGAGGCTCGGCTGGTAGCCTTTGCTAGCATGCTTTCAGCTCTCAGTTCCAGTCCCAGCAGCACAACTGAGTAAGCACACCTGTAATCGCAGCACTTGGGAAGCAGGCAGGAGGGTAAGTTTTTGAAATTCATCCTTAGCTACATTGCGGAGTTCAAAGCCAGTCTAGACTACATGAGTTCCTGTACCAAACAGACAAACAAACAAAACCCAAAACAGCCTGGTCTACAGAGCAAGTTCCAGGACAGCCAGAGCTACACAGACAAACTCTATTTCAGGAGGGGAAAAAAAATGATGGGGCTGGAGAAATGGCTCAGCAGTTAAGAATACTGGCTGCTCCTCTAGAGGACCCAGGTTCAATTCCCAGCACCCACATGGCAGCTCACAACTGTCTGTAATTCCAGTTTCAGGGAATCCATGGCACCAGGCATGCATGTGGTACACATATCTGTGCATGCAGGCAAAATACCCATACACATACAATAAAATAAATAAATCTTAAAAAAAAAAAAAAAAAAGAACACTAGCTGCCCTAACAAAGGACCTGAGTTCCATTCCCAGTTCAATTCCCAGCATTCACATGGTGCTGTATACTGTCTGTAACTCTAGTTCTAGGGGATCTGACACCCTCTTCTGGCCTTCCCAGGCACCAGGCATATGTGTGATGCATGTGATGTACAAACATACATGAACGTAGACAAAACACTGATACACAAATAAATATTTTAAAATGCCAAAAACAAACCATGGCCACATGTAGTGACACACATCTTTAATCCCAGCAGAAGCAGGTGGATCTCTGAGTTCAAGGCCAGCCTGGTCTACCCAGCCAGTTCCAGGCCAGGAAGGGCTACACAGTGAGATTCTGTCTTAAAACAACAATGTTCTTTGTTAAAAAGTGCCATGTCAGTATCCAGAAGTTCAGTGGGATGTTTAGATGACTCTTTGGGCAGGTAAAACTGGCCTCCAGGTCTCCCCGTCCCCAGTGGTAGAAACCTGGCTCACAGTGCCTAAGAACTGCTTGCTCCACTACCCTTGGCTTCCAAAGGCAAGCTAGGACTACATTCCTGAGCCCAGACTAGTTTTTCCTTTTTCTTTCTTTTCTTTTTTTGGAGACAAGATCTCTCTATTATGTATCCCTAACTGTTCTGAAAATCCATATATAGACCAGGCTAGCCTCAAACTCAAAGATTAGTTTGCCTCTGTCTCCCAAACTCTGGGGTTAAAGGCATAAGCCACCATGCCCCACCCACAGTGACTTTTAAACATATCAAATGAATCTGTTTGTTTCTGAGACACAGCCTCATATCATAGCCCTGGCTGACCTAGGACTCCCTATCTAGCCCAGACTAGTCTCAAACTTACAGCAATCCCATGGCCTCTGCCTCCAGAATGCTGGAATTACAGGCCTGCACCACCACACCATTTTTCCCCCAGGCTGATCTCTACCTGATCCTCCTGCCTTGATCTCCCAAGTGCTGGAATTACACAGCCAGCCTCCAACTTTCTTTTACAGATAGTAATTATCCTTATTTTCAATTCTAGAACTAGGAACTACTTCAGTTTTTTAAATTTTTTTGTTTGTTTTTTTCTTTTTTTTTTTTTTTTTTTTTTAAGGGAGGGGGAGGCTGGAGAGAGGACTGAGTGGTTAAGAACTGTTCCTCTTCCTGAGGAACCAGGTTCAATTCCCAGCACCCACATGAGGGTTTACAACTTCAGGTCCAAGGGAACCTGTGTCCTCTTGGACCTCTATGGGCATCCAGGAATGCATATAGTATACATGCTTACATGTAGGCAAAACACTCATACACATGAAAGTAAACTCTTTTTTTTGTTTCCATTAATATCTACATATTCAGATATTAAAATCTGGGCTTTGAGGAACATGAAAATTCCGGTAACACTGGCCCAAACTTAGGCATGGCAAGCATGATCGAGGCTTGCACAGCAGCTGCCCTGTACAGACACAGCACAGCACAGCACAGCACAGCACAGCCCACACCAACTCCATCTTTCATGTGTGTTCACTCTGTCAGTTACCAGCCCTATTCCTAGTTGGGGAGGCAAACAGACATGAACCCCTCCTTTCTTTCTCCCAAAGCGGGCTAAGGTCTAAGGACTATCATAGTACACATCTGGGAAACCCCCTAGCCTGTTGTCAACGCCTGGAAAGGAGAACTTGTCTGGTGACCTCAGTGCTCTTTCTAGAGTTGGGACAGAAATGTGTGGGCTGAGTGGCCAGCCAACTCACCGTCAGGGCGTAAAGGGCTTCCTTCTCTTGTGGAGACTGGATCTTGTGGGCCAGTAGCCAGGGTGCATGTGTCGGGCTGAAGAAAAATCAAAACAGACCTGGACTCAGGGTAGGGTGGACCACCTAAGCAACACTCATTTAAGCTGCTCCTCCTTCAGAAAGGTGTCCCAAAGCAGAGGAAGGGTATACCCGGCAGAGCTTAGGCACACACCAGTGAGACACTGATGCCCTCCCACCCTAGCACTTGGAGCCAGCATGTGCCCGGGCTCCATCATACCCCCCTTGCCACTTCCAGAACAGCAGGCTCAGAGCAACGTAGATGCCATCCATCCTCTGACAACTACTCAGTGAACACTACATCAGGAAGAGTGAAAGCTCTGAGCATGCTCCAAACAGCTGACCACGGAGCACCATGTAGGTCAACATCGGCATAAATTACTATTTCTCAGCTCCTTTGCAGGGGCTTTGGAAATAAATTCAAAACAATCTTGCTCTAGGGTGGAGATGTGATTCAGTGGTGGAGGGCATGCTTAGAACACATCAGGCTCTGAGTCCAATTTCCATCTCCACAAATAAAGAAATAATAAAGCAATGCCTTGCCATTCTTTCTCCTACAGAAAACAGTGTATTTAATCATAATAAACAGGGTGCTAGGAGATGGCTCAGCAGTTAAAAGCACTCGGTGCACATGCAGAGGATCTGGGTTCAGTTCCCATCACCCAAAGGCAGCTCACAACTGTCCCCAGAACTCCAGTCCAGGGAATCTGCCCTCTTCTACTCTGTGGATACCAGATAGGCAGGTACTGCATTTACATACATGCAGACAAAACACACATAAATTTAAATAAATCTTTCTTAATTTTTTGTTTGTTTGTTTGAGACAGGGTTTCTTTGTGTAAGAATCCTGGCTGTCCTGGAACTCTCTTTGTAGAACAGGCTAGCCTTAAACTCACAGAGACCTGCCTGTGTCTGCCTCCTGAGGACTGGGACTAAAGGGATGCACCACTGCACCCAGCTTTCTTAAATTTTTTTTAATCATAACCGGTGCATCAGTATGATTCCCATCTTTGGGAAACCTAGTTCAATTTGTTTTATAACATAACACAATTAAAAAAAGTCTTAGTTATAAAAAATAGCCAGTCATGGTACAGTTGCACCTTTAATTCCAACATTCGGGAGGCAGAGGCAGGAGGTTCTCTGTGAGTTCAAGGCCAGCATGGTTTACATATGGAGCTCTAGGGCAGCCAGGACTTCATAGAGAGACCCTGTCTCAAAAAAACCAAACAAACAAAAAAGCAAACCAAACAAAAAAGCAATAGTGCAAAACATTTTTTTAAAATACCAATTTGCTTAGATTGTGGGGAGAGGGGAAAAGAATGAAATGAAAACATTCCCAGCTGCAGGCCCCCGAGACAAGGGTCTGATGCCCCCAAAGTCAAGCGTGTCTCTAAGGAGCTTACCCATTGGGGTCGGTGTTCACCTGCTCACAGAAATTCTGGATCGCTGACCAATCCTGCTCCACCATGCTTGGGTCTGTGGCTTTATCTGTCGAGGAATCAACGATAAAGTTAAAGAAAGCATAACATAAGAAATGTGTGCCTTCTGCATGGCTGTGACTGACATCACAGCTCTAGAGGTCAGATCAGTGGTCAGGTGGCTGAGAGGGGCAGGGACGGCACCTGGGCTGTTCACCGCTGTCGAGTACCGTGTGCCGTGTGCCAGCAATGTTAGGCGGTTCCTAAAGATATGCTGGACGCATGAATGAAAAACTGATTAGTAAGCAAACGGCCATTTCTAGGGCCAAATCGGTCTGTGTGTACCTTCTTCAACGTCAGGAGCCCCCGTCCTGGCTTTGCGATGTTGGTGGTTGGCTGGGGTAGCATTTGGGGGCTGTCAGTTTCTTAGCCCCATAACAGAGAGACAATACCCCACCACAGGGAGTCTGTTTGGGTTCTAGGTTTTTCTACAACATCCTTGACTCTGGGTGGTCCACCCTTGTCCTAACGGAGATCTATTTTCAGGGGTGAAATCTGATGTTATTATTTCTCTCCCCGAGAAGCCTTTTCCTCCCCTCACATGCCTACCCCTCTCTTTAAGACTCCTCAGGAAATGAGATGGGTCCCTGGGTAAAGGCACTTGCCAGCAAGCTCCGTGACTTGAGTTGATCCCACTTGGTGGAAGGAAAGAACTGACTCCAAGAAGTTGTTCTGACTTTCACTTTTGCACTGTAGTACACACACACACACACACACACACACACACACACACACACACACACACACAAACATAATTTTAAGAAGTTTTAAAGACTTCTCAGAATTCCTTCTGCTAGGAAAAAACGCCCTCCTGCTGTGGGATAATGCTTTTGTACACTGGTTTAATGAAACGCTGGTTGGCCAGTAGCCCCATACTGCTCCGGTACCAAGTCTCTCCCCTCCTGATTACCCAGGATTCCATCCTCAACCTAAAGTCAGCTGACTGCCTCCTCCTACAGTCACATCCACGTCACGTGAGGTCATATGAGGATCAAAGGGCACATCTATGGGCTTTATCTAAACACAAAGCTCCCCCACCCCAACATCCACACACGCAGGGCCCTTTCTTGCAGAACCCTATCTGCCAATCAGATCACAATGCAAACACAGCCCTTTCCTAGAGACTGCCTGCCTTGGGAGCTGGAGTGGAGCTCAGGTGTACAGCGCTTGCCTAGAACATGTGAAGCTCTGGCTCCATCCCAGTACCACAAAAGAAAAAAATTCCTAGATCTGTATCTCCCACCACACACAAAATAGATGATGTCTGACTCCTCAAAACTTTTTTTTTCCTTTTTTCACAGGGTCTCACTATTTTGCCAAGGCTGGTTCTCAACTTCCCAACAGCAGGTGCAGACTGGCACTTTAATGGCATTCCTCTCCAACCACCACTTTATGGTGGTGATCTCTAACTCTACCCTAAATAATCACAACCATCAACTAATGTCCCCGAACTCTCTGACTGTTTCAATTATAAAATAAGGAACATAGTTTTATTTGTTTGTTTGTTTGTTTTGGTGTTTTCAAGACACAGTTTCTCTGTGTAGCCTTGGCTGTCCTGGAACTAGCTCTGTAGACCAGGCTGGCCTTGAACTCTGAGATCTGCCTGCCTCTGCCTCTGCCTCTGCCTCTCAAGTGCTGGGACTAAAGGCATGCACTACTATGCCCAGCTAAGAATAGAGTATTTTCAACTATTATGTGATTTAGGGATAGTGTCCAAAGTGCCGGCACAGAGTAAGTAATCGATAATTATTTAATTCTAAATAGTCTCTGCCTTTTCCTATTTAAAAAAATGCATATACTTTATTGTGCCTACAGAGATTAAAACCCTTGAAACCATATGCCACATTATTCCTCTAGTGCTTAGCACAAGGCTTTCCAAATAGGTATGAAATACAGATGCTCCCTGACTAACCATGAAGTGACTTCCCATAAAATTACCCCAATAAGCCAGGCAGTGGTGGTGCACACCTTTAATCCTCCTTTAATTCCCAGCACTCGGGAGGCAGAGGCAGGAGGATCTCTGTGAATTCAAGGCCAGCCTGGTTTACAGAGTAAGTTCCAGGACAAGCAGCGTTATATAGAAAAACCCTATCTCAAAAACAAAACAACACAAAAAGACTACCCCTATAAACCTTACCCTCCAAAATCTGTAAGTTGGTGAGATGGGTCAGCGGGTCAAGCAACTTCCGCCAAGTCTGACAACCTCCGTTTGACCCCTGGGGCCCACATGGTGAAGAGAGATCACTGACTTCGGCATACACTTGAACATAACAAAATAAGTAACATGTGCTGGAGAGAGAGTTCAGTGTTTAGGAGTGGGTACTGCTCTTGCTGAGGACCTGAGCTCAGTTCCCAGCACCCATGTTGGGCGGCTCACAATGGCCTGTAACTCCAGCTCCAGGGGTCTTGGCACTCTCTTTTGGCCTCCTTGAACATCTACACTAATATGTACAAACACACATACACAAAACTAAAAAGAAAATAAATCTTAAAAAAAAAAAAAAACAACCAAGTTGTCTAGTTACTCTAGGTCTAAAAACCATCTGCAGATAGTTAAATAAATTTTTCAACAGTGATTCTCCGACTCGGTGCCTGAATCACCTGAAGTGATTCACCATTTAAGCTTCAGCTTCGGGAACACAACAGGGTCAAGGCTGACACCTCTTAGAGCTGGAGGCAGAGGAAAGGACCAGGAGAGCCCGGCGTGCAGAATGCAGCCTTCTCCTTCATTCCCTTCTGCGGGTTCCTGGGGAGGAAGGGTCCAGCACAGGCAGGGTCCACTGGGGCAAAGGAAGTTAGAAAGCTCCCAAACCCTTAACCGGGGGAAGCAGCCAAAGGCTCCGTGTGGCATAAGACGTTTCTTCTTTATCTGCTCGATTTGGGGTGAGGACTCACTCAAGGGCCACTTTTATTTTTCCTTTCTCTAGGTGCTTTTTTAAGTAGGACACCATGACAAAGTCCTCAGAAGGGCTGACATTGATGTTATCACCTCACCCTTTGCAGCTGAGGAGACTCTGTTCCAGGCACAGAGCAAGAAAACCACACAAACGAAAGTTAGGCCCCAGGTCAGCCTGGCTCCAAGTCCTGGTGGGAAGACTTGGCTCCTTGACAAAGGCAGGAAGGAGGGAGGGGACTGCTCACCTTGACCTGCTCCAGCACAGAGCATGGCCAGCACAGACAATCACTTAAAGAAGGAATGTGTCTGCTGTATGGGGCTGGGATAGCCGCCTGGGCCATGGCTGACGCCAGAGAGTGGCTATTTCAGTTCTGAAATGCCCCTGAACACATAATCCCTGACTGTCCAAGCTATTTCAGAGGTCTCAGGCAGCTACAGAGAAAGTGACCCCCACAGGACCCAGCAAGTGGGCCTGATAGGAACAACAGCTGCTGGGATCTGTCTGACACAAATCTAAACCAAAGAGGAGCTGGGGGGTTGGAGGGGAACAGCCAGCAAAACCCTCCGAGGACACCCTTCTTTGTTTTGTGACTGTCACCGTCCTCAGGGCACTGAGAATGGACATCCAGGCTCCTTACTGAGGCTGTCCCTGGAAGGGACAAGGAGAGTCCAAGAAATAATACTGTTGTCACATACTTGCTTAATAAAAAGTGTTCCTAAGATTTGCTGCAAGCCTGTTCCTGTTCCGCTCTGGGTCAAGGGTATTAAGACAGCAGCAGAGATCCTAGTTGCCAGTAAAATGGCTCCTGGAGTGACCATCTGAGAAGCCAAATGATTTCAGCCAGCTGCCAACCAATCGCCAGGGTCATGACTCTGTCACTAGAGGCAGAGTGTGCTTGCAAGGGGAGCCTGGAGGCTAGAAGCTGGGTCACCTCTGGGAGCCCAACTCAACCTTCCAGCGGTGCTCATTGCACAAGGAGTTTTTCCTCAGGGCCACAACCTGGGACCCTACAGCCCATCAATCATTCAATGCCGCCTACAGGGAAACTGGCCAGGACCAGAAGGAATGCTGTAATCTGGACTCCAGGCTAGCAGAGCTGCGCAGCTCTGGATTTTGAAACAGATGTAGACTGCAATCCAGAGCCCCGGGGGTGGAATAAAAGTGGAGAGGGAAGGAAGATGGGCTATCGTGTGGGAGCAAGTCCAGGCAGAAGCAAGAACAAGGGATCCACTTTATTTTTCATTACACTTCATTTTTACTAGACCAGAGTTAGAATCCACAGTCAGAGACCAAGGTGACTACATGCCCTGAAAAACAACACAATCCTGGCAACACTTGAGACCCCTGCAGCGAGCCAGCTCGCACTACACTCATAGTAGCTCTCAGAGTTTTTCATTAGGGGTAATGCTAGAGCAGTCACATGGAATAATGATAAATGCACTGGCTGGCATGGTGTTGGTTAATTGGCAATTCCAGCTCTCAGGAGGCTGAGACAGGAGGACTGCCATAAATTCAAGACCACCTTGAGTTAAATACCAGTCCAGCCCAGGCTACATAGCAAAACTCCGTTAAAAACAAACATAGCCGGGGCGGTGGTGGTGCACGCCTTTAATCCCAGCACTCGGGAGGCAGAGGCAGGCGGATCTCTGTGAGTTGGAGGCCAGCCTGGTCTACAGAGCGAGATCCAGGAAAGGCGCAAAGGTACACAGAGAAACCCTGTCTCAAAAAAACAAAAAACAAACAACAACAAAACCTAAAACCCCTGGGCAGGAGAGATGGTTTGGTGTATAAAAGCCCTTGCCACCGATCCTGATCACCTGAGCTCCATCCCCAGGACCTACATGGTAGAGAGAGGAAACTAAAGTGGACCTGTGTATATAAACAATAAATAAATATGATTTAAAAAAAAAAGATTTTTTGTTTATTTTTATTTTTTTCAAGACAGGGTTTTTCTGTGTAGCCCTGGCTGTCCTGGAACTCACTCTATAGACAATGCTGGCCGGAATCCAGAAATCCACCTGCCTCTGCCTCCCAGAGTGCTGGGATTAAAGGCGTGCACCACCACCCCCTCAGCTTTTTGTATTTTTTTTTTTTTTTTGGTTTTTCGAGACAGGGTTTCTTTGTGTAGCTTTGCGCCTTTCCTGGAGCTCACTTGGTAGCCCAGGCTGGCCTCGAACTCACAGAGATCCGCCTGGCTCTGCCTCCCGAGTGCTGGGATTAAAGGCGTGCGCCACCAACGCCCGGCAGCTTTTTGTATTTTTAAAGCATAGTTTCAGCAACAGCTTCTTCATCCTTTGGTAAACTATCTCTTCTCAAGTCCAAAGTTGAGCTAGATCTCACCTCTTTCCTCTCCCATCCTACTGGTCTGGTCCTTTTCCTATTTTATCCTCTTGGTCATCCAGATTCCGAGACAGACATGATTCAAGCCAAAAAGGCCCACGGACAGAACAGTGCCTTGTAAAAATCATGGTGAAATGAATTATTTCTGCCCTGAGTACAGCAGGGCGCAGAGAACTGAGCAAATCCAAGAAAAGAAACAAAATCTCAATGACAGCATGGAGCTTTGGGGTTGGAATCACACCTATTCAAAGCCTTTCTTTCCATAATCCAGTTTATTGAACTTACTATACACTATATTAAGGCACTATTTAAGAACTTTATAAAAATGTGCAGCGAGGCAGTAGCCTTTAATCCCCAACTTGGGAGGCAGAGGCAGGCAGATCTCTGAGTTTAAGGCCAGCCTGGGCTATATAGACCCAGTTCCAGGAAAGTCAGGGCTACACAGTGAGAATCTGTCTCAGAAAGAAAGAAAAAAAAAAAACATTATGAAAATGTATTAACATTTTTGATCCTCCAGAAGCTCTAAGGAGACAGTAAAGGCAAGATCTACCAATGGCTTTCTTTTCCATCTTGTCGACACATGGTACATCCTTCTCAACTACACACCTGTCCTGATCATGCCTCAAACTCCTCCAACTCTTGTCTACATTATACCACCAGTACCCACCCTCAGCACTCCTGCTTTAAAACACAGCACCTTCTTCACACACACACACACACACACACACACACACACTCTAGCCTGTGCAAATACTTGTGGAAGCCAGAGATGTTGCCATATCTTCTCAATTGCTTTTCAACCTTTATTCTTTATTTTTTTGAGACAAGGTCTCTCTTTGAACCTGGAGCTCTCTGGTTTGCCTAGACTGGCCAGCCAGCAAGCCCCTGAGATCTGCCTGTCTCTGCTCTCTACTGTTGGGTGTACAGATGTGTGTAGTCGTGCCTGGTTTTATGTGGTTGCTGGGAATCTAAATCTGGGTAGTGACACTTGTATGTTAAGCACTAGCCAAGTCCCCAGGCCCTGCTGTACACATTTCTGATGAGCAGTTGACACTCCAACATCCCAACTGAGAGGACAAATGGGGGTGGGCAAACAGGGGGTTCCTGATCCAACCCTCCCCATCCTGAGAAATTGAACATGGCTGGAGATACCTTGGGGGTCAGGACTGGCAAGGTCAGGGGTATAATTGGCATCTAGTGGAGAACAAAATGAACTTAAAACAGCCTAGCACAGCTCGGAACGCAGTCCC